CATGGCGCTTTGAGCCTTCATGTCGACGGCCGACGGCGGGATCCTGATGCAGACGTTGACCAACACTCGACGGGTCCGTCCGTGAATCTCGCTGCGGACCTTCATGCCTTCGTCCATGCGCTTGGTAACGCTGCCAATCATCAGCTCGACAATGTCGCGACAACGTCACGACAGCGTCATAACAATGTTACAGCAACGTCGTAATTCCGAAATTTGCGTGGTGAACCGTAAGCGACTGGTATCCGGATGGGCCGTGACCAACCGAGAAGCTTCGCCGACGGCTACGTGAAGATCGGCGGGAAGGCTGGGCCTCCCCCAAACGTCACCCGTCCACAACGGGCCAAGACGAAGGAGAAGAAAGAGACGAAGAAGAGCAACTCACCGTCCACGCAACCCCGGGCACAGCCGGCAGGGGACGCACAGGCGGCGACGACCTCCAACGCAACGCAAGGCGCGCGCCCGCACACGGACGCGGAGTGTGCCGCCCAGCGTGACGAGACGACAACCAGCAAGACGCCTGGCGGCCAGCAACGGTCGCAGTGGCAGTTCAAAACGCACAGCTCGACGACATTCGGCCCGGACGCGGCACAGCCCCGTTTATTCGCCGATGTCGTGAGCGGAAGACAAGCCCGACAACCGGGACGCCGACATGGCGACGCCCCGACAGAGCCCGAGATGCTCGCGATGCATGAGTACTGCAAGGTGCCGCAGCCCGCGCGTCTCGAGAACTGGCGGCGCGCTACGCCCTACGAAGCAAAGATTCTCTCATGTGTGCTCGATGGCTCGCTGCCACTCGACTGCCCTCCGGAGTTTCTGTACCAAATTTTACGCCCCACAGCGCTCGCTCTCTTCTGGAAGCACATGCGCTACAACTACGGACATGTACAGTTTGGCGTGCCGCCGAATGCCAACTTGCAACCCTCTATGTCAAGCGCTGCTCTCTGCCGACTCTTTGTGTCAAAGCTTGCCAACGACCCGTACGCAGCCGGCCTATGTGAAGCGTTGCGACGTGACATCCACACGGCGTGGGTGTCGGACGACGGCCGCCTTGTCATCTTGTCGTTCAACTCCAAGGCCAAAGCTGCGAAATGGCGTGGTGAGACGGTACCGTTCCGTGGCACGGTCGTGACGCTGATGCACCACCGACGCCCGCACGAGCCAGAGTCCGACTTGGATACGGCGGACGCACAAGAGCTGACTCAATACACGTTTCGGCTGCTGAACGTCCCGGCCCGCTTTGAACCTCACCACCTCGATGCGCTCTTGGGCTCGATGGGCGTGTCGATTGGGAAGCTCGCACTCGCCCATCATCGGGGACATGGCCAAGCCGATACGAACAGCTACACGGTGGTTACCGCCAGCGAACGCGTGCCGCGCCGGCTCGAGGACAAGTCGGCCATCATCCTCGGGATGCATCGTATCCAAATTTGGCATTACCAACGGTATGGCAACATGCCGTGCCTCACGTGCGATTCGCTCCGACACGATCGGACGTGCTGCCCGGCAACCAACCCCGATTACAAGGTCTCCGTTCACGATCGACTGGACCACACGATTGTCGTGGACGACGACAAATGGGTGGAGCTGGCCAAAACGGAAACGACTGCCGATACAGTGACCCAAGATTTCCATTGCTGGGAGAACAACCACCATACCCAAGAGCCGACTGCGGAGGTGCAGACGACATCCACACGTTTAACGTCCACGCGGCCGACCCAAACCCATGCCACAGGCGCGGCCTCGCAATGGACGGAGCACAAGACCGGCGGCAGCACCGCGGCGACGCACGATCCGGCAGAGGACTCTAAGGTGGCGACTGAGGCGACGACTCCGGCATCGGCAGACGCGTCGCCTCCAGCTTGTCGCGACGACATCGACGAGTCGATGGACGCCGAGGCAACCCCAGAGGCGTCGGATGACCTATCCGGCGAGATGTCTGAGGACGCGCCCATGAGCCAACAGGATGAGCCCGAGAACGAGCCCGAGAACGAGCCTGAGGTCAAGGACGTGCCCGAGGTCAAGGCCACGTCGGAGGTCAAGGACGTGCCCGAGGTCAAGGCCACGTCGGAGGTCAAGGCCACGTCGGAGGTCAAGGACGAGCCCGAGGTCAAGGCCAAGCCCGAGGTCAAGGCCACGTCGGAGGTCAAGG